CTTGGCAGAATGCATTTCTTAATTTAAAACCGCAGGTACGAAGTGGATCCAGCCTCCATGTTTCAGATCATCACGATGCTCAGCGGTGTTGGTGTGATGGGTGAAAAGCAAACGCATTTCTACGTGGAAGTTACTGACGAAATGCGGATCGGACCCGGTGGAGGCAACAAATCCGAAGGAGAGTCCATTGAAGTAGTTGAACTGTCGATTGATGAAGCACGAAAATACATTGAGGGTCCGAAAGTTTCTTCTCCTCCCGAACTCCTGTTTGGTGTTATGTGGTTTCTTAAAAACAAGGCTCCGCAAATGGAAAACTGACCGTAATTGTGTTTTTCTGATGCCTTATTATTGCTGATTTTTCTTCACAAATTTTGTCTGATTTCTTGGCAATGCGATTTTTTTTCCATTTGAAGTAGCTTTTCTTTCGCTGTGCCGTCGGTGGAATTTTAAGAGATTTCAAGAGATTGGTGAAGGCAAACAAAACTTACCAGAAATTCCTCATCGGTTCGGTGCTTTTGGAAATTTTCCTTGGCGTACAAAATCACGCAAATTGGGCAACTTTTAGGCGAATATTTTCGCCATAATTTTGTGTCTTACGGCGTTTTTTGTGTCACGTGTGAAAAATGAGAGTGCTTTTTGCGGAAAATTTTCTGTCGTTTTAAATCGAACGACATAAAAAAATTGAAGACTCGTCAATTGACGCCTGTGTTATGCACCTTGTGATACTATTCGCGATGAGTTTTTTTTTCGTGCGTTTTCAGAGTACCGGATGCAATTTTGCAAGTGAATATGTGCACGTTGTTCGAATAATTTCAAAATTACGTGTTCGAAATTATCATTTTATTGGACTCTTGTACCCAACTACGTGAAGGTGTTTGCCCAGTTCGATAAGCAAGTTCTAAAGACGTCGAGTGTCATTGGACTGCATTTTGCCTATTTGCATAAAACTATGAGCAATTAAACTGAACTCCTTACATCGAAGACCTTTCTCCAGTTATTTTTCAAGCGAGTTCGATGTTTTGCTGTGTACGCAAGAAAAACTCGTAGATAAAACATTTGTGATACCGCAGAGTATCGCAATTACGCCTCGTTTAGGTACGGGTAGATGTCACTTGCAGTTACAATTTTTATTCCACGTCGAGTCATCCAATGTTAAATTATCTAATCGTACGACAGGCATTTCTGCGGAAGGATCGGAATGCAAACACTCCACTAATTTTTTTTCTGGTAAAAGTATACGCGTGGTATCTGAAAGATTTCTGTGCAACGAGATTTTAGAAATCTACCGAGAAAAATCATATTTTGTGAGACTCTGCTTAGCGAGAGACCCGCGCAACGAAAAATTGGCATAACAAAGATTTTTAAGTGACTCACCCGGCGAAAGTGCTTCTCAAAATGCAATTTTTCGGCCGATAAATGCCTGAATTTCAGCAAGTTTTTACTTCTTTCTTCGAAAATTTTCAAAAAATTGAGGGAAATGAGAAAAAATTATTCCATTTTTACAAAATCTGGACCTTATAAATTGGGAAATTTGGAAGCAAGAAGTTATCAGGATTACTTGAATTTCATACGTATCTATTTTAAATTCACAATTTTGTGATTAAAAATGCACAAATTTCAAGGATTATTGTGGTATGTTGACGATTGGAACGAATCTAATTACTGTAGTTCCAATGTTATCTTGAGAGAAAACGTGTTTCGCGTCAAGAAAATTCCGCATAGTGAAACACAACCGGGAACGGATTACTTTCGTTATTTCCTGACGGTTTTACCATCAATTTCAATGCTTTCATCCTGTGTGCGTTTGAGTAAAGATTCGATGAGACGCGTGTGCATGAATTCTTGAGAAGAATTATTCCCTTATCGCATCATTATGCTCGATTCCTTTTGTGGAAAAAGATCAGCCCGTGCCTAATTCAGTGAAAGAAAAAGTGTGTGTCTCTGTAACTTGATAACCGAATGTTTGTGAACATTTCCAGATGATCTACTGCGAATAAATTCGCGTTGTTGGTTGGGAACGCTCAGTGCGCGATAATGGCGGAGGCGTCCGCGACGAATTCGTTCTCGTCGAAATTCTCGATGGACGCGCTCATCGACAGATTACGTCAGGGAGATCTTCCTTCCGATGAAATCGAACGCATCATGAACTCGCTTCCGGCGCCGGTGACGGAGTGTCGAGGACTGTCACCAAAGGCCGGTTCGGGGGAAGAGTTGTCTTGTGACACGACGACGTCGAATGACGGCGATCTCGTGAGTGTCGGCGTTCAAGCGGACGTTTCCACGGCGGACTTTTCCTGCCAGGTCAATTGGCGGTGCGATGGGTCGCCTTCGTCTGAGGAATCTAGTTCGAGTGTGAAGAGACAAACTGACCAAAGTGAGGTTTCCTTCTTAATTTTTTTGTTTGCGTAGGCTGTTTTGAAAAAATTGATTTTAAATTTTAGTGGTAATTGTCACGGGTCAACTAGATGTCGCCCGCGTACGCCCTGATTAACTCAGGATGACTAGATGTTGCCCAAGTTGGCATAGCAATGGAACATACAAGAGAACAACGTGGCGTACAAAACACCACGTCGTCTTCGTAATTTTGGAGAAAATAAATTCCTGCAAAAAGAAGTAAGTATTAACAAATATTTTATTATAGATAGGAAAACAATATTCCCGGGAAACCTGACCACACCAGGGATAGCCTTGGAGATAATGATCTCCAAGACTTATTCCACTCATGTGAATCACACAAAATCATGAGAATTAGCAGGGCCTGACCAAACAACAATTGGACACACTGGCAGAAAGCCTTGAGGAAACTTTCCACCAGAGGAGGACCTGAACCTGATCCTTTAGACGTTGAGGTATTGACCTCAGGCCTCAAACGGCCAATTGAGACTACATCATTTCTCTGCTTAATCACATTGAGCAGAAACAATGATCTTTGTCACAGAGGCTTATTAGCCCCTGACAAAAGTGGTGGCCAGTAAAAACTATCTACACACATCAAGATTAGAGTACAGGACTGTGCGAAAGTCTTGGAAAAATCTTTGAAGCTGAAATCCTTGGTGAAATTTCATCCAAGAATTGGAGAATCAACATCCGTGAGTGGAGTGAATAAATCCTACACTTACAATCAGCATCATGCCTTGAGGAAAATCGATGACATCCGCCAGTGCTTTGCTCACCCATATGCGGATGAGCAAACCGCCATTTTGTTACGGTGACCCACCCAAGTGTTGAGGACAACAAAATTGTTGCTGCAAGTCAGCTACAAACACACTCAGGGGGAGCAAATGCTCTACCCCACGTACAACCGGCAAATTTGCCAGGTTTGATGCAGCTAGAAGCACAACAGAGTACATGACAACCCAGCAGACTGCCACAGTAACCCGTTGTTGCTCCTCCAAACCCGTCACCACCTCCATCAGTGATGGGCATCTCAACTGCAAGTACGTTGACCCAGTTTGATCCCAACCCCACTTGTGATTCTGGCACACGCCACGTACTTGTGTGACAAAGTGTACAAACAACCACAAAGTGCGCACACGTATCAAACATTTGTGCAAAAACACCAAATGTTCATGAATGCGCCCATATACTTCATCTTGCTGAGACACCATCATTTTGAGGACAAAGAGCAGCATCAGATCTTGCAATTGTGCAAGGAACTGAATGCCATAATTCTTTGAACTCAGGAGCAGCTCCAAACCAACTGGCTGGAATTGAGGCCTAAACAATCATGTATCCTGGGAGTGCAATTTTTGAATTCACCTTGTGCGCAACCAGCCCCTGGTGTATTTACACCAGGAAAAGGATGCTCCAGTGAACCTTGCTCCAAACATTCAGAGGGACTTAGTTCCCTATCAAGATGACCAAATGCAGTCTCATCAGCTACTCAATATTGACAACAAAACTGACCCGTACCTGTTAGAACTACAAACCTACGCATCGGCAAAAAACTTGCCGCAACCACTGCCATTATTTGTACGGGATTTGGAGAAGAAAATGTCACTCCCCTCATTTGAACGTTTCAGTGGAAACATGGAGGAGGAATATACGTTTGACCATTTCTGGTCCAACTTTCATAAAATCCACATCATTCCAACAAAGTATATCACGCCATCCCAAAGGTTTGGCCTGCTTTTACTTTACCTTGATGGAAAAGCAAACAATCTTGTGGACCAAGAGTCGGATAAAACAGAAGAGTCCAATTACTGCAGGATTCTCAAAATTCTTATTGAAGAATATGGGAATATCCAAGCAACTTGTCAATGTGTCTTCAAAATGTTTGACAAACTCAAACCAGATGGCAATACAGCAGACAATATGGCAAAATATATGGAAAGAGTGGTTGACTTAACCACCCAACTTCATAATTTATGCTCAAATATGCCTCAAGTTCACATACATCTGTGGCTGACCATCAAGCATAATTTGCGCAAGGGTGGACATCTTACAAGTGTTTTGCATGAGCTGAAACTGAATCCCCCTCAATGCGCATCAGAATCCGCAACATGGGACAGTACCCCTGCAAATTGATACTGGTGGATTTGGAAATTCTTGGAAGCAGAAGCTCCAGAGGATGAAGTGTCTCCTACAGCGTTAAATGTTCCTCAACATTTCTTCCAATAAGCAAGGGAAAGAAAAGGAATCATGCAAAAACTTTGACTTCAAGGACAAGGACAAAGACTTGGATTCAAGGAAAAGGAAAAATGAGGACCATAAAAGTCCACAGCATTCAAGGGGAACCAACTTGTTGTGCAAATCTGACTTCAACACAAAAAAAGAAACCTTGAAGGAATCACAGTCAATCTGCAACACCAGAAAAATCAGACTGCAAAGATTGGTCACCTCGTTGCTTGCAGCAAATATCCAGTTATAAAGGAACTGGATCTAACCTCTATCCAGACTATCAAAACAATTTGGGCAGCAAATTTGCCTGTCCATTTTGTCAACAAGGACATAACCCCTTTAAATGCGCACTCAGTACACCTGAACACGTAACTGCAGTCAGACAAAACAATTTGTGCTACAACTGCCTCAGCTCCAATCACACCATTGCCAATTGTGGCACTAGGGCAAGATGTCAAACATCCAACCTACCTCATCATTCATCATTGTGTCTACAGGCCTATAATAGCGGACCTCAAGGTAACAGCAGCTATTGCAGAAGCAATGGCTTTCAAAATAATAGCAGATACCAAGGCAACCGTTTTTGGAGCAGCAAATCCTCTCGGAACTCATCCAGGTTCAACAACAAAAATGGAAGCAACTTCAACAACAACCAAAATCAAAACAATGACCAAGGCAACAACAATGGGCAAAACAACAACAATCAAAACAACAACAACCAAACTAACCGCAGTGGCAACTCCAATAACAGGCGCAATGGCGGATCTCAGCAAAACAATAGATCAAATAACAGCAACTCTTGCAACTTTGGCTCAATTTTACAAGCCATCTCTGATAGCCTACCATTACCACCACCGGCGTTGGCATTGCCAGCACCTGCACACGGGGCACCAGCAGCAATAGCCAACCACGCATGACTAGTTCAGGCAAATGTAGCAACAAGTTCTGTAGCATACTCTCTTCTGGAAACCGCAACAATCAAAATACAACCACAGGACATCAAGGTCCATGCGTTACTTGATACAGGGTCACAATTGACTCTGGTGATGCAAGCCCTTGTCCAGCAACTTCACCTACCTACTCTACAAACAGCCACAGCCCATACTATTGCAGGAATTGGCAATGCTTGTCTGCAGTCAATGACATTGGTTAAGCTGCATTTGCAGCCCAGAAACAATGCAAAATTCAACTTGGAGACCACAGCTGTTGTCGTACCATTGCAAGAATCCT